AAAAAAAAAATTGGAGCCATTGCCATAAGGAAAGAAAAAAGAAATACAGACTAGGACAAAAAAGTAAAACTGTCTTGATTCATATACATTACCAACTATGTACAATGTACAATATCCTAAGCAATCTATAAAAAAGCTAGTAGAATGAGTTTAGCATGGCTGCAGGATACAAGGTCAACACACAAAAATCTATATATATTAGAAGTGAACATAAGATTTTCCCATATGTTATGGTCTAGAAATTTTATAATTATGACCATTTTTGAATATGATATGCACTAAGGGTCAATTTACATATTGATATCCAATTGTTTTTATTTGTTGAGATTATCCTTTGTCCATTGAATTGCATTGGAAAATACTCATATCGTATCTTTCCTTCACAAGAGCAATGCATGTTTGAGACCAAGAAAGGTAAGTATTAGTAGTTCTTTAATGGCTCAAGTTAAGCTGATTTCTTCACCAGAGAGAGCCTCCAAATCTATTAGAATGTCAATTAGCTCACAGGTGACCATTTCCTGGCCTATAAGTCTTTATTTGTTAAGATAACATTATAAAAAGGACTTATGCTAACATTGTGTAAGATAGATAATAATTAAAGCATCAAACTATAATATTACTAAGACATTTCTAATAGCAATGACAATAAAAAATGTTTTTATATCTATTTTACCAGATTTCCTTTTTTCAGATAATTTGCTTGGTGTCTTGAAATTATTGATTCCTTCCATTGTAATAACCACTCTAGATCCTATGATAAAAATAAATTGAAAGTTACACTGCAATTATAAAGATTACAACTCATTCATGAAGAAAAAATTCCCGGAATACTATCACTCATTTTATCACATAAATAAATCTGAGAAAGGCTATGACAAATATTTAGTCCAATTTTATTTACAATGAGAAAACTGAAATCCAGAGAGGTACAATTATTTACCCAAGGTCATAGTAGTAGCGATTGAGTTTTTTTGTTTATATTAATTAAAAAGTAACATATGCACTTGGTTCTTTTTGTAAAAATCGCCTAGTACAAAAAGGTAAAAATTGAATCTCCCTCTCACACCTCCCAGTAGTAGTTAACAGGTTTTTTTAAATATCCTTTAAAGAAATTGGCTATGAAAGCAGCATTACTCCTAACAGCCAAAAAGAGGAAACCGCAATATCCATCAGATGAATGGATAAACAAAATATGGTATACAATACACACAACAGAATGTTATTCAACAGAATACATATTCTAGACAATAGAATATTAATCAGTCATAAAAAGGAATAAAGTTGATATATACTACAGCATAAATATATCTTGAAAACATTATGCTAAATGAAAAAAGCCAGACACAAGAAGCTACATATATGATTCTATTTACATCTAATGTCCAGAAGGCAAATCCATACACAGAAAATAGATTAGTAGCTGCCAGAGGCTGGAGGAAGGGAGAATATGGAATGACTGCTAGTGGGTACAGGGCTTCCTTTGGGGGTGATGAAAATGTTCTAAAATTAGGTAGTGGTTTAATATATTCAACTTTGATTATACCAAAAACATCACTGAATTATATATTTACAAAGGGCAAATTTTAAACTATATGAATTGTATCTCAATAAGCTGTTATAAAAAATTGTCTACACAAATAAAATGTACATACTGCACATACATGCAAGTTAATCCAAGCTTTTTATTTCTTCTGTAATATATTTCTTAAAGAATCTTTTAGAAAGATTTTAAAAATTGCTTTTTGTTTTAAAAAAGTTAAATTTCGTACTATTATTTATTGTAAAGCAAACTGTTGCTATAAACTCGTTTGGTTTGCTCATAAAAAATTGGAAAGAACATCTTCTTCCAAGAAAAAAAAAATCATCTCAAAGGCCCACCTTTAATTTTCTACTAATGAGAAGCTTGTTCAGTTTTTAAAGTGTAGCTACAGTCACCACTCTCTTCAGATTTGCCTGAATTTCGAACACTGAAGATGCCCTCGTCACGCACTTCTAAGCCGCCCTAAGGACTAAACAAATACATGGCCCTACTGGCAAAGCAAACATGTAGAGAGAGCCAGTAGAAAAAGGGAAAAGCAAAAGAACGAGAGAAAAAGTAAAGATATTTGAGAAAAGAGAAGCACAACAGGGTGGGAAAGTAGAATGAGAAAGAAAGGGCAAGTTCTGATCCGATTATTTCTAAGGTCCTGGACACTCTCAGTAGGATTTCTGGGAGTAGAGACACAGGCAGTTTATCCCCTAAATCCAGGAGTTTATAGAGGGCTCATTATTAAAAAATAAAAATAAAAAAAAATCCTTCTTCCACCTGCTCAGTCGGTTCACCTGAAAATTGGAAGCAACATTAGCTGAGGGGTTCAAAGTAGGGAACTGTGCTTCGCACCCCTTTCTCAACCTCCAACCCCCTCCGTGCCACCAGAAGAAGCCTTCGCCACGTGCAGCCTCCCCTAAGAGCTGGAATTGAGACTCACTCGGCTGAGGGAATGCACTGTCTCCACCAGGCAGAAGACCCAGCGTGCGGATCTGGTACAGAACCATATTGGGCTTAAAGGCTGGGGTGTCGCTTCAAGCAGCGACTCGGGCCTTCCGGGATCCGTCCGTAGTAACATCGTGTGTGAAACAACGGCAGCTCGCTAGATCCGGGGGGTGCCCAAATCGGCCTACCCACCGTATTCTCCTATGGAGCTTCCACAAAAAGTACAGATTACCAGGCCTCGCTTAGACAACGCTCAATTTCTTTCTTACAATCCCCACCCTACCCCGTGATTCAGATGCGCCCTAGGGTTTCAGTCGCAACGACGACTCCTAAAAAAATTCCGAGTTTAACGCCATATTCCCAACGGCTTCCTACGTTCCTTCTAGGCCTCGAGCTGTTACGAAAACAGCAGAGGCCTCGGCTACGCGAAGGGCTCGACCCCCGCACCCAGGCCCCCGCGCGGTGAAGGCCAGAGAAAAGCTCCCCTTACCTGAGCCGTTCGGCGCGGTGGTGTCACACTCCAGGTAGGAAAAGACCGCGATGACAAGAGGTCCAGGCCAAGGCCGTCTTGAAATCTGCTCCCGAGGGGCCCCTAACTAGACCCCGCGGCCGCCTCAATTGCCCGCCGGCCGCTACTCACACTCGACAACAACAGTCGTTGAGGCTTGAACGCTTCTCGCTTTCAAAACCGCGCGCGCCGCCTCTACGTCAGCCGCAAACTACGGGGTGGCGCGAAGGTCACAACTAGTCAGCATTTGTCGTTCCTGCTGATTTTGGTCTCTCCAGTCTTTTTATTGATCCCATTTTATTACCAAATAGGGACGCTTTGAAGACAAATAAAAGGAAGAGAAGAGCATAAAAAGACAAGCTGATTTTTATAGCCACTGTCAGCCCTTCCGAGAAACAACTCTGGTTGAAAAGAATATATACCCCTGTATTTAAGGCTGAAAGTCTTCCCCAATTACAAACACTATGCTCACAATATGTAATGATTATTATATAAATTTTTATTACAGATTTATTTGACCTTGGAGCACTATAACTAAAAGTGCATTAACCTAGACACAACAATCATTTTTGGCTGAGAAGAAAAATAGATATTTAGAAATTTGGATAACTCGTAATTACCACCCACATTCATTTCAACATTGTTCATTTATTTATTCAACAAATATTTATAGAGCACTTACTATGTAGCAGGTATGTCTTGAAAGCCCACTATATATACTACAGTAGTTGCTACAAGAGACACCAAGATGATAAAAATCACAAAACTCCCTCCTGCTCAGGAGGAGCTTAGAATCTTTTGGGTGAGGGAGAGGGAGAGAGAGAAAAGAACACATACACACACCCACACACACACACTTCATAATACAAAAGTCTTTATGTAGGTTACTGTGTTCATACACTCTGTTTTTCAAACGAGGAAACTATGGCACAGAGGTTAACTAATTTGCCTAAAGTCACAGAGCTAACAAATGGTAGAGGGTTTGAACCCATGTTGAGCTTAGACTTCATCTTTAATAAATGTGCTCAAAATCTCTTCCATCTTACACACACACACACACACACACACACACACACACCCCTCCACACCCTACCTAAACATAAAATAAATAGTTGGTCACATTGCACTGTACCTCTAGTCTCACATTTATTTATTTATTTATTTATTTATTTATTTGTTTGTTTGTTTGTTTGTTTGTTTGTTTGTTTGCTTAGGTGGAGGCATATATAGACCTCATCTTTTAAAAAAGTATTTATAATTTTCTATACTTTTTATTAAGTCCTACACTTTTACAAGCCCTCAATTTTCTGTTCTTACTGGCTACTAAAATGTTGCCTAAAGCCAGAGACCGAGAGCTTCTTAATTAACCACTTCTTGTGAAAAGAAACTCTAGGGAGATGAGGATATTGACACAGGTGTAAGATGAGGCAGAAAATATTCACAAGAATGAAGGCCCTTGGGTAAAGACTTACACTCACAACCATCCTGTTCCCCATCTTGTAACCATAAAAGTAACCTCCAGAGATTATCTGCAGAAACATTTGAACTTCACAAGCTTAATATTAGTGAAATGTAATCATTAATCTCAAAATCAGTTGTCATAGGAAACAGCTTCCAACCTGAATCTGTTATTTCTCCCAGTGTATAAATGTCCTGAATTCCTTGGCTTAAGCAAAAGTGCCACAAACTCTATATTTGACTCTTGGCTGGTTGTGCCCAAAGGAACATTTACATCATCACCTTTTTATGGCATAAACTCCAACTTTTGTCCCATTCGGGGCTTCTCCTTTTGACTTTCAAGAGCCTAGTTTGAGGAGAGGGTAGAGTATTAACATTTCCCTTTCCTCTTTTCAACTGATGTTACACTTCCATTCTCTTTGAGGCCATATGGGTGCAGCTGATGGGCTAGAAGAATAGTGAGAATGTTTAGGGAAAAAGAAGGAAAAAAATTAAATTTCATAATTTCGTCTTGTTACATCTGTATATCCAACCAGTCAACATGACCCTAGGGTGCTGCTCAGGCATCCTGAAACCATTGGGTCCACAGCTAAGGCTGTCTGAGCTCAGCCCCCCACTCCCCTGGACCTCTCCTACTTCCCCATGCTTCTCTTATGGGTCCCAGTTTTGGTGAATGGCACCTCCATCTATCTTCAGGTCCTAAACCAGGAGCGTCCCTTTCCTTCACCCATCTAAGTTCTGATAACTCCTCGGGTGTCTCTAAAATCCTGCCCCTCCTCCCCATCCCACCTTCCTCTGCCTTGGACCACAAATTCTCACATCTCACTATTGATGATTCCAACAACCTCCTAATTTGCCCCGCTGCCTCTGATCACTCCTCTCCTCCAGCAGATTGCCCCATTGCTGCCTGGTTAATTTTTCTGAAGTGTAATCTGGTCCAGTCACTCCCCTGCTTGAAATCCTTCAGGGTTCCTCATTAGCTTCAGGGTAAAACACAACTCGCCTTAGGGTCTCTAGCTTGGATCCCTTCAACTCCGAATCTGGTCTCCAGTTATACTGAGTTAATGGTAGTTCCCAGAGCACACATGTTTTCTAATGTCTGCAGCACATGCACATGCTTTCCCCTCTGCCAGGATGGCCTTTCCCCCTCTTCCTGCCTGGATTAGCATCTCCTCAGTCTTCAGCACTCAACTCAGGTGCTGCCTGCCCCAAACATTCTTTCTAATCTCCCCAGTCTACTTTATTTCTCCTCTAAGCTCCTAGAATGCTTTCTGATTCTCTTGTCCCAGCACATATCCCAGTGCGCTGGAATTTTCTCTCTACCTGTGTCTCCCCGCGCTGGAGGGTCGGCTCTACATGTATATCTCTCCCCCACATGCCTAGGTGAGTGCTCAGGAATGTTTGGTAAATACATGGGTGAATGACAAGATAGATAAACATTGTTGCATGGAGAATTCCATCAGTCCTTCAGTGACAGAGAATATGCCAGTTGGTTTAGAAAATTGGTCTGAACTGATAACTTAATATCTTAGCAACGGTCCCTGAATCAATGTTTGCTGATTGCTAGGCACTGAATGTTTGCGTGTCCCCCTGCTCCCATTCATATATTGAAGCCCTAACCCCCATTGTTGATATACTCATGGTGTTAGGAGGTGGGGCCTTTGGGAAATAATAAGATTTATATGAGGTCATGAGAGTGGGCGCCTCATCCAATGGGATTAGTATCCTTACAAAAAGAGGCAATGGAGGGCTCTAAATACTTCTGCCCAAACCCCACCCCCCTCATGTGAGGACACAGTGAGAAGGTAGCTGTCTGCAAGCTAGAGAGAGCTCTCACCAGGACTTGACCATGCCAGCACCCTCATCTCAGAGTTCTAGCCTCCAGAATTGTGAGAAATAGATGTGCATTGTTGAAGCCACCTTGTCTATGGTACTTTGTTATGGCAGCCCGAGCAGAATAAGACACTGACCAACTCTGGAAGCAGCCAACTCCAGCACAGAGGTTGAGGAGGAAAGAATGAAAAGGGAATTGAGGAGGTTTTGCTTCCATACACACTCTCATTCTTATATTTACCTGTTTTCACAGTAGCTTCTCTTTTGATGACTAAAAATGTATGACTCTCCAAACCAGACTCCAAACCTTCCATCATTCAGTGAACTTGCCTAAAATTTGAACTCGTTTGTAATGAAACCACCTGCTTCTCCTCCCCCATCACTTCCAGGACCACAGTCTCAGAGTTGAGAGGAACCGTAGGCGTGACTTTGTCAGGCTTCTCAAGATGTGGAAAAGCTTCTGCGTCATCCCGTTCCAGAGAGAAAACTCTGGGCATGCCAAGCCCACTTCTTTCACACAGCTCTAGTTTTCAGGACATTCTCCCTAATATTGGGACAAAACTAGACAAACTCTAGACTAACGACAACGTTTAACTAATATTTTTGATGTGACTACTGTATCCCAGACACCGCGCTACACACTGGGGATCCAACAGTGGGTGAGATCAACACCTTGGCCCCTTTTTTTCCTAGAGTTGACCATCTACTGGAGGCAGTAGACAATACGTAAGTAATTAAAGCACTTGCAAATGGTGATCGAGGCTGTGGAGGGCATATGCAGGCTGCTGTGACGGAGAATGACAGGCGACGGTGTAGAGGGTCGTACTCTCATACGGTAGTCAGAGAAGCTTTATCTGAGGAGGTGATTTTAAACTAAGGCTTCAGGGATCAAAAAGGAGCCAGTCTCATGAGGAGTCAGTGAAAGAACCTTCTAAGTAGAGGGAAAGAAAGGCAAGTGCAAAGTCATTGGAATGTTTGGAGGGACTGAGAGGAAGGCAGGGTAGTTGGGACATAGTGGGGGGTGGGCAAAAGTGGCCCAGGATGGGGATGGAAAGGTAAGTGTCCTCTTAGTGTAATAAGAAGCCACTGAAGAATTTAAACCGGAGAATCACATGGCCTGATTTAGTTTAGGGGATCACTCTGGCTGGAACATAAGAAAAAGAAACCTGTAATTCCTTTTCAACAAGTGACACTGGAGCAATTGAACATCCATAGGCAGAAGAAGGAGGGGTGGGGGGAGAAGGAAAGAGGGAAAGAGAGGAGGAGG